CTGGCTAGTAACGATGTGTAAACACAAATTTACTACTTCGTGACTAGACTCCTAACCGAGATTCAACCTCTACTAGGGATGTATCCAGCGGCGATTGTGCGAAAGCAATCTCTGCGAACCACATACTCTCGGCCGCTCGTCTTGCCGGTAATTGGGATGTGATTACTTCGCTCCACTTACACTTCCTGCTGCGGCAGATTGAAAGTGACGCTTCCTGCGACGTTGTATCCATATTTAATGTAGCCAAAAAATCCCATTGCTATGTAGAGAATGACGATCACAGTCATGCCAATGTTCAGCACGCCGCAGTAACCGCCGAAGTACTGTGGCGTCTTCATGTTGTTCTCCAGTGCGATAATCTGCGGAACAGTCGTCCTCTTGAATAACGCCGCGGAGCGATAATAATAAGACCGATGATATAATAATAATAATCGAACGAATTTCTCGTTTCGTTCGCTCATTTTCGGAGACATTTGGAAGGAAAGAACATCGCTATGATAATTTAACACATATCCTTTCTTTCTCTCTTAATCAAAAAATTTCAATTATGAGAATTAAGGGCAGATTCTTGTCTAGACTTACCACGTCGACGGCTTTTAACGCGAATAACGTCGTTCCAAAATACAGGGAAAAATTTCGCAATGTACCGAACATCTCCCTCTCGCTGATCGGCGGTAGTTCTTCAAACATGTATACTAGTGTCATGGCGAGGCCGACAAATGTGATAACGTTCGCCAGCATGGAAAACGGCGTCAGTAACTTTAGATTTCTAATGTAGTTTATCAGAATCAGCGGTAGCAATAAAATGAGCATATGGGTCGAAATGTCCAAAGGGTCCCCATACTGGTCTGCTACCTGCGTTCATTAATGAAATCATCGTGAATCCGCCGTATTCTCTAAACTTGCCGCTAATACGCAATTTTCTATTCAATTGTCGCGTGTTTGTGTCTTTAAAAATTAATTTCAATCACGGTAAAACGTTTTATCGTGAGCGACGTTTTTCACATTTTCTCTCTCTCTCTCTCTCTCTCTCTCTCTCTCTCTCTCTCTGTACGACTACAAAACGTTCGGTGTTTAGGTTTTCTTTACTTTGTAAATCTTTCTGCGGCAATTGTGATTGATTTACCTGTTTTATATGTACTGCTACAAATATGATATAAACATAGCAAATTCCCAATTGATAGATTATCATAAGCCCGTCTACGAGTCCTCTGAAAACAACAGCATTTTTAAAATTGTGCTTCAATCACTTACATTACGGACTCGTGCATGCCTCCGTAAAATCGGATAAGGTGACTATAAGAACAAGGTAGACAAAAAGTGTCATTGAATTCGTTCG